TCGTGTTTCAGGGGATCAAAATTCTGGGAAAATATTTAATTAACTATTGAATTGGTGGAAAAGATAAGAAGAAAGAAAGGAACGTGTTGAGTTTAATGCAGTACTTTACAGGCAGTAAACGGATGGTTTCAAAGTATTTGCTCTGTTCTGTGTCAGAGACCGCATGGGCAATGGAGAGCGTGTGCTTGAGGAGCGGCAGGTCGCATTATTAGATCAGACCGCACCAGGTGAACTTTGAGGAGTCGACACCCCCCACCTGCCAACCCAGTGCTCCTCTGGCTCATCTGCCCTGCCCTGCCGGATGCTGCTAAGGTGACCTTCCAAACAGAGATGGAGAGAGAGGGGGGCGAGGGGAGGAGGTGAGTATTGAGAAAGGTGCTGACAGAAACATCTCTGGTTATGAACTAGTCGCGGTTTGCTTCCCTGGAAGCAAACCGCGACTAGTTCCGCTGGAAAGGTGTGCTGCCAGCGGCCTCTCCTTCCCCGCAGCCGGAGCACCTAGCGGGGAACACACGGAGGCCAAAAACATGATATCCAAAGCACCGGATGTCTCTGGTAATAAGCTGCAGAGAAGAGAAACACACCACACAGCCACAAGAGATCCAGAACTTAAGATTCCTGGTCTGAATGAGCTGTGTAGTTTCTCCGCAAACCAGTAGCTTAAGTATTTACCTTGTATCTCTCTGCGCCAGGCTCTCTGTCACTGCCTGTGTCTAGCACACTCTAGCACGCATGTCTCTAATTCTTGGCTCACATATCCACACTCATACCTGCTGACAAGCCCTCCCTGTGCGCCATGACGCGCAGCGCGTTCACTACAAGATTGCAGAACTTCATCCAGCAGTCGCAGCTGTCACGTCTTCCACAGAAACCAAACTAGGACGTTTACAACGAGCCTGGAAAATGATATGTATATTTCTGTTGTAAGCCAGTGAAATATTCAAAAGAAGCGAAGCAAGCTTTACATTCATGCTTGAGTCATTTCCAATTTTGTCCAGATACTTTTAACGTGTGACTGTATATGTGCGACAGCTGAAGATATAGAAAACTTTCGACAACTTTCGTACTTCAGTGCGTCTTTTTTCATAATTTTTTAGTTACTTTTCCCTCTGAACAGGTGATTTATTTTTCAGATGAAAACCTCTAAATGTTTTCTCTACAAATATAATCAAAACATTTTTAAAAGTTGTCTTAAATCGGGCTTATTTGGAAAATCAAAATGAGCTTTTTAACAGAATTTGCCTATGCTCTTTATTAACTACGATGCACGTAATAGCAAATTTGCTTGCCATGTGCGTGAAGGTGGGAGCCACGCCAGTTCTTCACGTCATAGTAATTATGTCGGTATTCCTTAAGGTTGTTTGGAAAAGGTTAGTATCGCATTTTGTTTGACGCAGGGGCCTCAGTCGGGCTCTGAAACCGGATCTCATGACTTCACCCCCCCGACAAGAACCTCTGCTAAAGGCATCGTCTGAACCGAAGCTAGTGCGAGATCTCAAACTTTATAATACCAAAGTCATGATTTCTGACCACGGAGCAAACAGCACTTCATCATCAGCTACATTATGCAGCCTGAAATAACTTTTCATTTGTTTCTTGCACGTGCTTTAGGTCGATTTGAACGCTCAAACCAAGAGAGCAGATTGTTATAGATAAGTTTAATCACCAAAACTTATATGACTATTAAAGACTGATGCCCAAAAGCCCAGAGCTGTGCGCTTAAATTCAGAGTCTCGTTTGTCAGATGTAATGGAACTGATAACAAAAGGCTTAATCGCGTTACTTTCCCTCTCCTTTCTCTCCTTTGCATTTATATTTATTTATTTATTTTTTCTGCTGTGGCTTAGGGTTAAACAAATGAAACGCGCAGTTTCTCCCCTCCTCTTCTTCCTCACTGCTATGTAAAACCTCAGAGGGGAGCAGACGAGAACGTTACTTATTCTGAAAGCAGAGAGGCTGCAGATAATGAGAGCCTGGTTGCATTAAATGGACAAACAGCAATCCGGCATCTCCTGACCCCTCGATGCTCCTCTCGGCTCCATTGATCATCCCCCCTTATGAGATAATGCAATTACAAACATCAATAAGGAGCTGCGAGGGGAATCATTATGTGGTGACAGTGATAAATGATGCTGCAGAAAATAGCGGGCTCCTCTCAAACAATCCGTGCGCCCAAGGGGCTTTTGAGGGCCGGGGCCCCGTCGCCAAGGAGACAGATGACATCCAAAATGGCCCCTGCTCAACAGTCATCCTCTCTTCTTTTTCCTGTCTCGCTCTCTTTCTCCCACCAACCAACAGATTTTTCTTTTCTCTCCCCCCTTTTTCTTCCTTCTTTTGTTTCCAAACCAGCTGCCACGCGACGTTTGCAAGTGGAGGTTTTTTGGGGGTTTTTTGGTTTGGTGTTGTGTTTTTTTTTCGGAGGGGGTGTTGGAAAGTTTGGAAACTGCGGTGCAATTTGTGTTCTTGTTCATATTGATTTCATTAAGTAGCTAGATATTGACACATCACCGCAGCTATATATGTATTTCCTGTGCAACGATTTTCGCTTTGGAAACTATAGAAAATTGATTGATGCAGTATTGCATTGCTGGGAGCTCATGTCATATCTATTCTTTAAGCTTTTCCCTTCGAATTGGGACCTGTGCTTGTGAGAGACGACGGTAATAAAGGGCACTTAATTAATCAGCATTTAAAAACCTGGTTCGCGTAAAGAAAGAGAAAAATAAAATAACGTGCAGTGTTTTAATTTTAAGCAAGTACTTTTAGTCTTATGGCTTCAAGGCCTAAGTTGTTATTTTATTTGTTTTATAATTTTTAAAAGATACATTTATTTAAAAAGAAAACCTCAAGACTTGTGTTATTTTTAGAACCAAATTTCCACAAACATTCCAGTAATTTCCAGTTCGTGTACACGCTTTAAATGAAGAAATTTAGAATGAAATAAAAATAAAATTAGTTCCATCTCATTAGGTATCGAGAAATGCAGTTTGACAAGGTCGTCGTTTAGGAATAAGTGACTAAAAGGTGTTTTTGGGTGAAAAACACACACTGCCGCCGAGATTTGTCATGGCTTGTATCGTAACACGGAACAAGAGGCACAGGGTTGCTTGTTCCCTGCTTCAAACATAAAGACACATAAATGTTTGCGTTGTGGGAGGAAGACAGGCCTGCCCGGACACCTCATGCTCTGGAACATATTTCTGCTCCATTCATTACTCTGACGATTCACTTCGCGGTCAGACTGTGTTTGTAAGACAGAGAGGAGTGGTTAGGCCTAAAATCATCATTAGCTACCAATTACGTTATAAACTCACAGTTTTTGAAATTAACACAGGCGAAAATTCGCGTGGTTTCATGAGTAAAAAAAAGTGACAGCAGGTCAGTCAGAAGGCGTTTTGCATTAAAATCTCAAGAGTTTGATATATAGGTCAGGTGTGAAAAAATTATTCAGAGAGACCCTGAATCTCTTTAATGTAAAGGCGTTTTGCACTTCCTAAAAAAAGGGAACAAATTTAGGCTATTAGTGCGCACAGTGGAGAAACATATTTCTGGATACCTTTATGCAAACACGTTTATATCACGTCAAGCACCGAGTCTTCTAAATATTTACAAATGTTAAAATGTCAACAGGGTGTAAGAAAAGCTAAAAAAATATTTCAATAATTGGATCAAAAATATTTATGATTAATCAGACGTTACTTGTCTGTTTTTAAGACAACTGTATTCTTTATATATAAATACTGGTATTAAATTCAGGGATGATTGTCAGCGACAGTTATTTCTGTCACCTGGTACTTATACTTATACTTATTCATATAATAAGAAACATCTGATTTTCCCATTAAGCATAGGGATGGCACGGTATTGATTCATTCAAAACAAATTTATTTTGAATGCACTTTTGCTGTGCTCTCTTTTGATGCAGCCACGCGCTCCCTGTAACCTGTCTTTGATTTTCTACTTTTATCACGTGGCCAAAAAGTGTTTTGGTACACTTTGCGTCCGTGCGTAAAAGGAGATGTGGTACTGTGCGCCATCTCCAAACGTCCCTGCCCCAGACAGTTACCAGGCCTCCCTAAAGAGGGCAGTCAAGCATGGGCTTTCTCCTCTTGTCTCCACAGCTCCCAGCGGCTACAGGCTTAGGAATTCACATTTCACAGCCTCGGATTTTCCAGCCATGGTGGAGAGGCGAAGCAATTAAAACGTCGCCCGGGTTTTTTAAGAGCGTGTCTTTTTTCCCTTTTCCCTTCTTTAGTGTAAATAGCGTTCACTTCGGCAAAGGCAGTAAAAACACAATAGTTGCTCGGAGGAGTGATAGAGAGAAAGAAGGGTAGAGTATTGATTTATACGCACATATTGTTATGGATAAAACAGACTCTCTCTTGTTCGCGGGTATGAGGGGGGGAGGGGGGGGGAGACATTGACTTTGGGATGCAGGGCTGCTCTCTGAAATGTATCAATTAGAAAAAGAACTCGCTCGGCTCTTACGCGCTCGCCTGCTCAATCGGCTCAGCCTTTTTCTCCTGAAGCGCGTAGTATCCCGGAGACAACCTCGGCTGCAGAGCGCCGGGCTTCATGCGGAGCCCTTTGACTGCGGGCAACAAGGCATGAGGGAGAACTAATCACCCCATTTACACGTTTGTAGCAATTTTACCTAAATGAATTTTAATGCTAAATGAAGGATAATTCGCTTTCTTATCGAGACCCTCTTTCCTCTCTTCTCTTCTGTGTGAGAAAATTACAGCATAACGCATGCATTAGCTGCACATTATCCGCAGCAATGGGAGGAGGGTTGACTTAAGTGCATGTTCTTTAAGTATAAATGATCCTCTACCTTTCTTTAGTGGGCATTTGACATGTTTGTGACTAATCTAGTTTAACAAAAATCAGTTGAGGTTATTTGCTTTTTTTTTGTTAAAACTCCTAAACGACTAATAATGTGTTTTATATGTCATACCTGTGTATCGGAAGATAATTTGAGACTATAGTTAGGAATTCTGTTATTTGACAAAAAGTATTTATTTACAACACAGATGTACATATACACCCTTCAAAGGAAAAGCATACGAAACATGTCTTCAAATGAATCTTAAAGATGTGCATAATACATGTATGAAGCAATGGATAATGGAAGCATTGATAGCACACACACACACTCATTCTCATACATGCACGGTACCGCTCACATGCATCCTGACACGCACAGTGACTTTTACATTCTCTCCTGTCTGTTGATCAGCATTACATCATCTGGTTAAATCAAAATGAATGGACTGTGGCATAAATGGTGTTTCCCCATAGCCTTTGCCTCTCCCTGTTATCAGGCTGCATCAAACGAAAAGGGGAAGAGAATCCATTGGCCATGCGAGTGTTCAACCATGTGACATAAACATCACTAAAACACTGCAAATAGACTTCCAGAAGCCCTCAATCACAGACACACATGGAGAAAAACAGGAAACAACATGTTTGTGGGACACATACTTGTAGTTTCCCATCCACAATGATTTTTTTAGATTGTTTGTGAGCATAAACAGGAGTTGTGTATCATGTCTGTTCCCCATCTTTACAATTACACTGTTTCTTTATAAAACAAACCAACAACAACAAAAAAAAAAACACAGCATAGTGGCAACCAGATTAAAAATCTTGTTTGTCCAAAATGTTGGCTACTAGAAATTTTGTGTAGCTCGAGTTCAATGAGGTTGGATATTAAATGAGCTTGATTACCCCAAACATCATCAGAATTTTTTTTATACTAATAGAAACAGTCCACCAGTAGAGGAGGGTATAATAAATTGATATGAAAATAATATTAATTTTAAAAAAATATGGAGTGACAAGGTGTAGACAATGTAACATAAATACAATTAGCTGCACCAGCTTTTGCTGTGTTCCATGAAAGGGCTGTGTGTCCTATGCAGAGGAAAAAAGATCTGTCAGTATTGTACTCCAAGCAATCCAAATAAAGGCCCTTCAAGAAATGACGGATTGATCGAATTGTTCATTTATTTACTTTTTTCTTTTAAAACTGCAGTGTGATTGAGTAGGGAGAGGGGACAGGAGGTCAAATTTGATGGAGAGACGGCGCTCACACACAGTGTGGAAAAGAAACAGAAAAAAAGAGAAAAAAAAGAGAAAAAAGTTCACATCCTTTTTTAAAAAAAATCTATTAGAAACAACATAATATGCAGAACAATACAATAGCATTTACAATACTTAAATTCCCAGTTCTTGTGAGAGTCCAGCGTAATTTTACAACAGTATACAGTATATTTTCTTTCTCCACTTGCTTCCCATACTAGGGGTTGATATAGTTATACTTTTAATTTCATTACTCTTGCTTTCCCTCCTTCCAGGTTTCAATCCACTATATTATTTAAAGGGCACCTCTTTTGCTTTGTTAGTGTCTTATCAGATACAGACATTGGCTTCTCTTTGGTCCAATTCCATCGTCCCAAAGAGTGGAGTGCTCCTCACAGGAAGTCTCTTTTGTTTGCCAAAGAGTCAAGACTAAATCAACAGGTGCCACATTCACCAAGGGTACAGGCAAATAGCCCAGCATGTCTTGTGGGTCATGTACGTTTGCAATCACAATCACTTTAATGGAGGAATCCATGTTAACTGGGTGGGCAGCAGCAGGGTGGGCGAGGTCTGGTGCCCTCCAGAGAAGAAGCAGGAGTCTGTCAGGACAGGGGTTCATCTGACTGGAGTGAAGTTTGGTTTTCTGTGTATCACCTTTGCTAGATATATAGACGAGGATTGTTGGCAGTCATGGAAGTTCCCATGCTGCAGATACCAGCCAAATAAAATGTGTTGGATCTTGGAGGTGAACAGAGGGACTGCCATTTGTTGTCCCCATCAGGAAGTCCGGAAGTCCCCCTCCATAGCTCTATAGGCCTCTGTGAGACACAAGATCCCCTGGTTTGCCCTGCGCGTCTATGGAAAGAGAAGATGAAAATGGTTAATGGTTTTCCACTAAAAAATGTCTTCTGTATGAAGTTTTTTTTAAAAACTCCACTTTATTAGGAAATGTTAGTCAGGTCATAAAAATATTAAGACTGGAGCGAGTTAGCATACTGCCTGCACCACATGGGCAGAAAATATTTAACTACAAAATACATGAAATTGACATTAACTGTTCATTTAATACAACACTGGATCACATAATACTTGCTCTCACGTTACACTTATAGTATGTGAACACTGAAACAGTATAGTATGTCGCAACTACTGCAAACTCAAAGTAGTGTTAATCTGGGTCAGAAAAAGACCAAACTGTGGCCTTCACTGACACTGTGTGGCTGTATGAGTGAGAGGGAGCGCATTGGAAGGTTTAGTGAGTTAATCCTACACCAGCAGTAATGCTTCTTTAACAGTAGGAGAGGGCTTAGAAACCAAACACACATGATCGACTTGAAGTGATACCAAGGCCTGTGCTTAGCATTTCCTGGATAATCTCTTTAACTGAACTCTGAGAAAACTTAAAATTACCTTTTGATTGTTCGCCAGTCAACATTTGATTAATGATGACTACATAAGACTATTTCAGGTCAGTACTAACATGGCATGCAGTTTAATCTTGCTTTAAAGTGTAATATGCCTGGACAAGACTTGTTTGTGTCACATATTAACCAAAACAACTTAAACTGGTGCAACCTGCTGCACACCATCAAACCTGCTCATACAATAGAAAAACTATGTAAAGAAAACCATCTTTACTGGCACCTCTCACTGCATTCCTCTCTTTAAAGCCAACAAAAGCAGTAATCTATCTTTGCAAGTGGAAAGTCACCATTGAGGATCTACGGCCATTGTAGTCAAAAACCAAAGGAGAGGTGAGGCTCGCAGTCGCCTGTCACCTGAGTATGCCCCGGGCCTGTCCACGTGTTCACCACACAAATGAGAGGACCACTACAGATGACACAAAGGAAGGCAGGGAACAGGACAAGGAGGTGCAGCGGGAGTAGGACAATAGAGAAGTGAACGCAAGGGCCCTCGATTGTTATTCCCCTCATACATCATTTTTCACCTGAAGAGAAAAGGCGCCACTTGCGTAAGGGAAGGGTGAGCTATTATGTTAGCTGTGTTAGATTCATTTACCTTGTTTTCAAGGGAGGGGGTGGTAGGAGTTATTCAGCCAGTGGCATCCAGCCTGTAACCTTTCTATTTTGAAACATAACCTGTGGCACTACCATAAATCAAACTATTATGGATGCGACTTTAAAAGCAGCACAGGCCAGTGTTAAGGAAATGATCTATGAAATTTCCCTAATATTAAATATCTACGATGCAGTTTTTGGAAAAGGGTAGTAGAAATCAGAAAGCATGCTGTATGTCTAATAACCACAGGACAACAATCCATTCATCTGTTGATTCTCGCCCTTAGTTTGTTTGGCTTTCTTACAGTTTCTCCCCCTGGTTAACAAGATTGTCCTCATTACTGCGGTAAATACATGTCAAGGGTCTAATAAATGGTATGCGTGCTTGAGAGAGAGCACACATTGCTAATAAGGTTTTTCAGTTAATAAGCCAATCAATACATTGAGCTGGAACCCTCATTTCTTAGCCTCTGAGAAGGATTCCAGAAGGGCCAAATCAACAGTGACACACATTCACATGGACAATACAAGGGGGCGCAAAATCCCCATTGGGACCTGTTTTTTTTCTCTTTTTTCCCCCCAGTGTTCGTTTATAGTAAAAGTTCATCCAGCAGAAAAATAAGTTTAGGGTGGGGTGGAGGGGGTGACAGTGGGAAGGTTTGTGGTAGTTGATGGGATGAGGGAAGGGATCTTGACCTCTGCGTAGAAGGTTAACAAATTTGTGCTTAATGATTGGAGCAATGAATCCTGGGACAAAGGGTCTCCAGCCAAGACTGGCAGCAAAGGGGTTACAGACAGCGTTCACTCAAGCATTCTGCCCGACATTTTGGGAAAAGCTCCAAGTGGGCAGGCCCAGAAAAATTCCATACGCTCTGTGCTATAATTAATTGTCATGAAACTAAAAATTACAGTTTTCCGGGGCTACCCCTGGCTAATTTTGTGGAAGAGAAAAAGCAAGGGGGAGGAAGAAGGGAAAGGGGGTAAGGGTCATCTGAGAGTCACTCTTGTCACTATCAAAGGCTCAGTTCACTTCTGCTTCAGTTGCTGGACTTCATCTCTGCTGACAGGTGTATTGTTTCGCAAGGGGATAGAAGCTCTGTAATCATCATTGGGTGGAAAGCATAATGCTCTTCACTAAGCAGGACTAATTGGCTTTAGTTTTAACTAATGTTGCAATGTGACTGCTAGGCACACCTTCTGTATCAACGCTCAGCACTCCTCAGCACAATAACCGCTCAATTTAGCCCCGCGGAAACAAAATCTCAACTCTGCTAATGAAAATTGCTTATAAAATATAATGAACCTGTGCTCTCTTAATCAAATAAGATAACCGCGCGCGCGCCCCCCCCCATGTAATAACCTATTAATTTAATTGGTCATGAAAGAATATAACACATCACTTACATTTAATTGACCTAGAAAGGAAAATAGCAATATTTGACAGAGACAAGCTAGAAGCTAGTAATGGCTAGCTGATGAAGCTGTAAAGAAACGTTCCGTTTGTGAAGAAAAGTAGAAATATTTCTGTCACCATCCCTCTCCCATCTACTCTCTTCTTCCCTCCCTCATTCCTTCCTTCCTCCCTTTACCCCTCCCCTCTTTTCATTTACTCTTTTCTCTCTCGCCATCTCTTTATTCGCCCCTCCCTCTTTCTCCCTCTTTTTTTCCTTCCTCTGTCTACTCGTCTTCTATGTGCTTTGCCTGTCTCACGGAGGATTCCTCTGGTGGCCCAATTACGAGATTCAGCAGGCAAATTGAGGCTGTTTAAAGCAAGGTCTGCTGGGAAGGCTAGCAGCTGCTTGAAAGAGGCTGCTTGGACACAGCGAACCAGCCCTGATGTTTACACACTTGCACATAAACAGGCACACATGTCTCATTCTGAGGCATACTCTTTCTATTACAGTGTCTTCCAGCTTTTCAAACCTGGAATATGCCATTTGACGCAAGAATGTCTGCTATTGTTTCAGTTGTGGACATTTGTGACAGAAACAAGGGTGATATATTTTCACTATAGCACACACAAGCACACGCGTTGTGTGGAGGGTTAATGGTCTCTATTTTTGTAAACTGAATAAGTCAAATCCATTGGTCACACCTCTAGTGATGGCATATTTAATTTGGATCTAGTCAATTAGGCCCAGCTAAGCTCCATACCCTGCTGGCTACCTCCTCCATTTTTGCACTAGTTTGTGTCCCCTCCCTGTGCCAGGAGTAATCCTATTACCATACACACACATGCACATACATGCACACAGTTATAAACACCCACATTCAGCACATGTATGTATTTCACAATGTTTGTGTATAGTATCCATGTAGCCAGAAAGGCTGGCACACACAGGTATGCGCACATATGGCGTACAAACGGGCTAATTCGTACACATACACACATATAACAATGATGTTTACTACGATTGGACCCATAGCCACTTTATACACACTGTGCACTGTGACAACACCAAGCCTGTATACATCCAGAATTATGTGGGAGTCTGTTTGGCCCTGGGGCGAAAGAGAGAAGGAAGGAAAGAGAAGGAAGGAAAGAGAAGGGGGATTGGGGGGGAGGGGGGTGAGAGAAAGAGAAAGAAAGAGAGAGAGAGGGCAAGAGAATTAGAGAGAAAGAGAGAAACAGAGAAAAAGGTGTTGTGTGAAAGAGATGGAGGAGCAAAATTGACAGTGAGAAAAACCACAAAGAGGGAGTGAGACAGAGCAAGCATTAGAAAGACAGAGGGAATGGAAGGGTTGGGTTGGGGGTGGGGGTGGCACGGGGGGTGTGGGGGGGGGCTCCTCTAGCTGGTTAGTGTGTGTATTAATGTGGCTCATGCATCAACAGCAACCCGGCAGATTTATGACACTTAAGGGGCGCTCACTTCTCGCTCTCTTTCTCTCTCCCTCTCCTTGCACCACAACTGCTTACATTTTTGCCAATCAGTCTGTTGCCATAGCAACGTCGTACCTGCCCCCCAATTTCCCCCACCCCATCGCACCACCAACTCCCTGTCCCAACCCATCCCCGCCTTCCTTCCTCCTCATCACCCCTCTCTCCTCCTCTCTGCCCCATGTTTAATAAAAAAAAATGTGGACAAAACAGTTCATATAGAATAGAATTTTTTGTAATTATCATCAGTGAATATTGCATGACAGCTTTTCACCTGCCTTCCTTTCTCTCATTCTTTTTTTCCCCCCCTTAAACCTTCTTCTCTTATCTCCCCTGCCTGACATAAAAAAAAAAAGGTCTTGTAGGTTTTGGATATGTGAGAAAGTGAAGCAGCTACACGCACATGCACAGGCATTACATACACAAAGAGTTACAAGGTTGTGATCAAAGGCTCTTATCACCAGACCAAGGGGTGGGAGAGTTAGACAGAGAGTAACAGAGAAAAATCAGCCTGGGAAGAAAAGGAGTCTGTTTGTAACAAAAACCCATTTGCTTAAAAAAAAAAAAAAAGCCTAAATATATCAGTTTGGAAAATAGCCATTTTCCAAACAGTGACCTTTGACATCTCACAGACACTCCCATTGTACTTATATTTTTGTAATTATCTTGTGGGAGAATATTTCTACAAGATGAACATCTTACTGTAAATTGCACCCTCCATACTTCCTCGTGGTGAACTGTATTTTAATAATATACTCCAAGTCCAAAAAAGTCTTGGGCAAGAAAGCCTGTGTGTTTGTGTGTGTGTGACAAAGTGAGCATATTACTTACATCCCCCTGTGTGTTGTGATTGGTCGCACTGGAGTAGGGCTACATGTAGTGCCACTGACCTTCCATGCCCATGTTCATGCCCATTCCACCCATTGGTCCTAAGAAACAGAGATAAGTTGTTAATTTTTTATTTATTTAATCCAAGTGTAACTAAGAAATGGTTTGCAGACACCGAGCGAAATAATATGATGGTTTAACTGTGACAGACCACATGCTGGATCTGCCGTGGTGAGGTGTGTGAAGGTGATGGGGAGGAGTGAGGGGTGGTTAAGTAGCCTGGCAGTTTATCCAAACCTGCTGACTTTGAGTGGAGGGTGCGATAGGGTTAGGGACTTGGGAGAATCCCAGAAAACAGGGGATAGAGGAGGAGGAGAGGAGCTTAAGGACAAACTCTGGGATTAAACCTGATGGCGTGAGAGAGAGGGACTGTGTGAGAAGGAGTAGGAGTGAGGAAGGAGATGGTTGTGTAATGTGATTGACCACACCTGTTCTGGTGTATTCGGGGAGGGCTAGATAACAGTGTGTTTGTGTATGTAGTGCGTGTATCCTCATTCTGGTGTAGGAGCATTGCACAGCATAAACTTAAAATACTAAACAGCAAACAGAGACAAAAAAAGTCAAGAATGACGCTGGTAACATAAGAATCGAGAAGACAAAGGCAAGAAGATGAGCTGAGAAAGGAAAGATGGGAAGAGCAAGAGAGGAAAGAAAGGGACAGACACGCTGCGCAAGCCTTACCAGGTGGTCTGATTCCCATGTGCTGCTGGCCGTCCATGACGAAACCCCCCATCGGCTGGCCATCTGGATTGTAGGGAGCTCCTTGACTTACTGTGGATGGAAGAGAAGACAGGGAGGAAGGGAACAGAGTGGTCAATTAGTGCTTTTAATTAAGGCTCAGTGGCCGAGGCGGGATCATCTGTTGACTGGTGCACGCACGGGAAGCCGCTGTTGTCTTTCAACGTCATTCTACTCCATGTCTCTGCAACTGAGTCTCCACTGTAAGCCCCTGGTAGACTTTAATACGTCTAAATGTTCTAAAAGGGATTGGACTGGGTGTTTAGCGCACATATGCAAGGACTGTTGTTTCAAGACTAGATTTAGACCATCTGGAAGAGTTGAGGAGCTGCTTTTATAGACTGACTAATTATGAACCAGTGTAACATATTAGCATGACTCAACTGGGCTAGTGCAAATAAAAATTACTCTTAAATTTTAGGCCATAACATACGGTTGTTTCGTCTTTTTACCGCGCTTTGCTCTCTGGGGATCGTCTAAAGGTTTGTTTTTGTGCATTTGATGTTTACATTCATAACATGGGAATAACTTTAATTTCTAGTATGTTATGTTATATATTTATGGAAAATTCAGACTGATATATTTGGCGTGTTTGGAAACTGGTATCTTCACTGGAATTTTAGAAGTCAAAGTTTTGAGCTCAAACCAATGGCTAAGTTTTAAGGGGTAGAACATTTGTGGTTAGGAACTGTGGAATCCAGAAAAGACATAAAAATACTGCCGGTGATTTTTAATACTAAAGTACTGAACAGTTTAGACTCAAAGGTCTCAAACTAATTGTATGCTTCTCTAAGTAATTTTGACACTTAACACTGCAATGTTTGCAGCGCATTGTTACTGTGCACATACATTTAAAGAACGAAAAAGCGCTCTAATCAGTTTTCCTTTGGAACAATAGAAAGTCATTGCCTCTGCCTAGGGAGGAATGACAAGTGAAACCTGATAGGGTTCCTACTTTTTGCTCACTTCTATTGTCCCAGTTTCATAGAAATCCACTTACCTTCGATTTAGCCTGTTAGGGGGTCAGTCAAGCAAAAGCAAGACCTCGGCCCCGCTGAATGTCTTTGAACTTTACTGCGCCCCTACTGCCACCCTGACCTTTGACCCCTATTACAGGTAATAAAGTTTACGGCAGCCCAAACCAAGCCATGCACCAGAGGAACCGCTCACTCACTCCCCTCGCTGCCTGGACCAGCCACAAATAGGGTAGAGGGAGGGTGTTGAGAGGAGCGAGAGGGGTGTGTGTGCGTGGGTAAAAACAGGTCTGGAGCCAAAAAGCCAAACAACGGTCACCCAAAAAAAGAAAGGGGTGTAGTTGTCTCTCGGTTTGAGCCAGGGACGAAGGGCCGAGTGTTTTTTTCCCCTTCCTCAACTCCTTCGGCTCACTGGAAAAAAACAAAAAGTTGGCGGTGGGATGGGTGGGGGGGACTGGTTAAGAGCAAGGCTTACCAAGAACACAGCTAGTTTTGTTTGGACGATAAAAGGAAAAATAAATCCACTCATCATTAACTTGCTTTCAGCCAAATTATATTTTATAATTAACAAATAGCTTTCACTCCAAATGCCATGTCATAGTTGATTAATGATTGCTGTTAATGTTGTAACATTTTGGTTTTGATTTTAGTGCTCAGTCACAACAGTGAGGGGGGGGGGGAGCCCCTGGATCTTTTGGACATTCCAGGGTCGGGGCATCAGTCCTGTATTTACCAGATGAGGGGCCTCCGGGTGCATGGAGTGTGGATGGTTTTTGCCTGCGCGACTTGAATACAGTAACTATAGAAGACTTGCCTGCACGGTTTGACTGGTCGATCATGGGCTGCACTATTCTCCTCCTCGCATTAATGAACCTGAAGTAGATGAAGAGTAGGGAGGAAAAGGGCAATAAAGGAAGAAGGGACAAAGACAGAAACAAAGTTAGTGTATTTTTCAAGACAAGATCAGGCAAAAATGCTGACTAATACCTAGAAATCATGGCACACAGCACGAAAACAAACATATTGCCAAATCAGCCTCTCTTTCTTAGCTAACCATAATAATGATATGGAGTAATTACTCTCCCATAAGCATCTCTGATCCCTGGTAAAGCCCCACTAGAGGCACAGCGAAAGTCACATCTTAACAACCTTAATAATCAAGGCAGCTGTCTTTGAAAATGCAGAACTCTACAACTTGTACAAACTTGCACAGCCTCGGCATATACGCAGACATCAGCCTGAACACTGGGGTCTTTGTGGGGCGAGGCTTGGCCACGATTTTTTTCCCTGCCTCTGAAACATTTTAACCCATCTTGCCTTGTTGGAGATGTTCCACCTCACAACGAGCTGAGATTGCTGACTGTTTAACACACTTGGCTTCGCGTGTAGCAGTGTGGGAAGTATTGCTGACAGAAACATGTCATGTTGCCACCAGTGAGAAGCACTGTTTTGGGTGATACTGTGTTAAGACAGGTGACCATTTGTTACTCTGTGACAGCAGGAGGTGTGTGTGTGTGTGTGTGTGTGTGTGTGTGTGTGTGTGTGTGTGTGTGTGTGTGTGTGTGTGTGTGTGTGTGTGTGTGTGTGTGTGTGTGTAGTCTTAGACTAAAATCTTTTATACTTCATTACACCCTACAAAAGCAAGTAGGCCATTTATTGTGTACACACAAGCACTGTTACTTACTCACACACTCTTAATCCCTCTCTCACTCCTAACATTTATTCACATACATTCGCACCCACACACACACTTATAGGTGGCGCTCCGGCCTTGGTCATCTTAAACTCTTGTGAAATGAACCTTTGACCCTCGGTGACCCAAAGGACAGAGGACTCTTGGGGCTTCTGACTTGATTTATGTGTTCCTGCTGTTACCCCACCGGACTCTTCCATTTCATCTCTGAAAGGGGAGCATTCACTGAACTTTAAGGAAACAATAGTCCTGCTACACTTCTAAAGCTGGAACACAGTGCAGTTAAGAGCTTTGGGAAGGGACAGCAGGGGAACAGAAGCAAAACGACACTAGGATGCTGCGTCTGTTAATTAGTGAATGGAAGCCTCTCGCCTTATATGTATCCTGCATTATCTTGTAAGGACAGCGCTGTAGGGAAATAAACAAACAGAAGGTGGCAAAGGCAGATACCAAGAGAAAAATGAAATGATTAACAGCCTAATTGCTCCATTATATTTTGCAAGCTGCTTTAGAAAAACTGTTCACTTTGGCAGGGATGCAGGCAGAGCTTCCTGTGAAGTGAATTTTTTTTTACATTGGGAAAAAAAAAGTTGCAGAGATTCTGTCAACCTTTGAACTTGAAGCTTTGGGGCATTTTTTCTGTATTTGTTACAATAAAGTATACAACCTTGGAATTTCAAGGGGTAGAAAGAAATAGAAGGAGGTAGGGAGGAATGCAAGAATGCACTGACATGGCAGAGAACCATCAAATGAGGGAACGTCTGGAGTTTTATCACCACCACCACCCCCCCTCTCTCTTCCTCCCCCACTGCCCTGTTTTGTTGGGGGAGATATGAGAGGAGGAGCAAGGGAGAGGGCGAGGAGGGTTGAGGAGGCCTGAGCATTCCTTTAACTTTGCTCTCCTCTCCTCTGCTCTCCAAACCCTTTACAAGGTTAACTGGAGGCCAGTGCAAGCTCACTGTTGATCTCTCCCTCCTCTTGTCATCCATAGCCGTCTTATTGTCACCATTTTTATTCTTTGACTCTTTTCTGTCTCTTTGTTTTCCTTTTCCAACATGGCTTCTACCTCTTTTAAACATACACTGATGCAACAAAGGAGGATTTTTCAGCAATAGGTGTACACTTCTTAGAAAGTCAGGTATTCATTCCTTGCGCAATAGGGCTTAAGGCATATGTGGACTTCAAACTTGATGTGAAATATGGCAAAAAGAATTTATTTACTCTAAGGATTAAACAGGCAATGTATTAATGAAATAATAATCCTACTCCTACTGCTGCTACTAGACCTACAGGTGATGTTATTATTGTGACTCCTAAAAAAACAACAGTGTCCATGCCTCTCTTTCTTGTATCTGTTTCCTTCTCCAGCTTGCTCCCTTCTTATCACTCCTTCCCTGTATGGTGGAAACTGGCAGCCCACCTCACAGCAACAAATCTACAGTCTAACCCACCAAATCCCCTCCTCCTTTCAAAAACTCTTGCCGGTTTCCTGTCCCTGTCGTCCCTATATCTGAGGCCAGATGCACCATGGGGGCTGGAACAAAGGATAAAATGCTTCTCATAATAGCAGCCAGGGGAACGGAGCGATGGAGAGCGGGAGAATGGAAGGGAAGGAGGAGTGAGAGAATCAGAAAAAAAAAAAGCAAGGGGATCTGGTCTGCAAACCAGACACTCTTGCTGTGACCGTTAATAAGCAGACAGAGAGTAAGACTGGGGGGGTGGTTGGTGGGGTTAGGGTGAGGGAGATGGAGAGAAAGGAGGGAAAGGAAGATGGATGAAATAAGAGAGAGACACAACTCGGAGAGAGATGGAATGATGGAGAGAGAGAAAAGAAAAAGAGAAACAGAGAAGAGAAAAAAATGGAGCGGGGCTTCACCTTTTCACGACCCCTGGGTGCTATAGGGCCTGTGTGTTATGGCCTGTTCATTCCCCTGGCTCCCATCACAACACAATGAGCTGCACTATTCAGCTCCACTCAGTACAACAATAGCTGGGCTATTTTGGCGTGACACACCACTGGTGGTACGCCTAAAGTTGGGCAAAGGAAAGAACACGACTTGAAATAAAATTTGTTGGAATCCAACATGAACACTGTCAGGATGTGAGCTGGATTCACACCAAGAGCACACATGTTTGACATATGCATGCACCCATGACACAGTGGATCAAGACGCATGTCGGCCACGTGTTATGCCAGAGTTGAAGGCACTAAAGTCATTTAAGGAGACAGAGTTTTATTGTTTTTTTTTTTGTTTCTTTCTTTTTTGTCGGATCCATTTCTCCTTCTGAGATTGCTCATGTCTGGATTAATCCTCCTACCCCTCTCCCTCCTCCTCTAGAAAGAGTGGAACTGATTGCGACGGCGTCTGCCAAGCCCTTGCTAATGTCCTATTCTCATTACGTGCGACACACACACACATACACAGACATACTGAGCCGAGTCAGCTGCACACAGGTGTACACGAAGCACACGTGAAATGCCCAATTAAAAGCAAGAAATTGTCTTTTTCATCAGCTGCCTTTGTTGCGTGACCAATTAGGGGATAATTTAATAACGAGCAGTGGAAAGATGCAGATTGGATATACAAAAGGTTACTCCACAAGCTCATTGATTTAAATTCATGTGGAGTTCTCAATATCTGTGGCACACATACTCACACATGCATATCTCCTGAGCCAACTACCGATATTATATTAGTAATATGAGACGCACAGAAACACACAAATACGCACATACAGCGCACACATCCACCCCGCGTTCTCAACACTCACTTACATACTATTACATTAGTAATCTGAGAGAATTTTGCACACGCGGCCTGCACACATCTCATATTTTTACACCGCTGGATATTTCAGCATCACATACATTCATCAGGATCCAGCGGTGTATTTCTGCGCACGCCGACAGAGGTTTACATGCATATTCAAATCTGACAGCCACTTAAAATAACTCTGCAACCACACATTCCTCTTAGCTGCCAATCAATGTGATTTAGACGCAGTAAAAGAAAGCAAGCTTTGACGGGTAGAATCATGTAGCTTATCATCAGGCTGTCACTGCATGGATACCATTGATTGTCTCCTGCTCCACCACAATTAACGCATGGCCCATATATCCTTCAGATACACACTGATGGTGTGCCCGCGCGCTCTTTCTCTCTCTCATTCACCCATGTAATGTAAAAAAATAATCTCTCTTTTTTAACTCTTTATTTGTTTACTCAAAACTTGCTGTTTTTAAAAAAGTGACTTTAACACATTACTCTTGCTTAATATTATCCAAAATAATAATTGCACATTTTCACACACATAAATTCAGTAACAGTTATCCCAGCCTAAGCCAAGCCACACATTTATTTCTGCAGAACTTTATTATCCCGTCCTATGTCCCAGAACATCACCATCTTCTTAAGTAATTAGTTATTTTATTATACAGCTCACATATTCTCTTATGCACAGCCGGGGGTGGCAGGGCATTCCCGTGCTTGTACCTGCACTGTATGTGTGTATGTGTGTGAGTATACTGCATGTGGGTGTGCAAGGGAATTACAGTTATGAGTTTTTCCTTTTGTTCTCCTCGCTTGATGACTTAACTCATAAATCACCTTCTCATTTCCCCATACTCTATCTCCATCCCGCCTTCTCTTTCTCTCCTCCTCTGTGTCGTTTTCGGGTCAGATGCTTGGATTAGATGCTTCAGATTAGTTTAAATAAACTATCGGAGCTGCTTGCAAAATGCCTAGTTGCAACACAAACAGTTACAGCATGGGAACAGTTTTAAACAAGACTAATTCAAATATGACTCAGCTTTATTTGTTGTGTTTACATGACTTTTTTATGGACTAATGCCCCTAAATAAGCACAGACGGTACTTAATGAAGGGTGAATTTCATTAATCCCCAGAGTAGTGGCACAGGTTAAGTTTGGGTAAATATTAAAGTTCATTGAGAAAAATTGTCTTATTAAAAATTTGCAGAAAAAAAAAGGTAAAAAAACCCAAAACTATTTAATAATTACAATTATATTATTTTTGTACTTGTGATGCCTTAAAATAATGTTTCCTTGTAGGAATAGAGACATATTCACAAAGCAGTGATGCATTTAGGATCATCATGTTGTTTTCTCTCTTATCCCATCAGTCTTGCAGTCATCTCAGCTGCATCTGAGACCACTTGCA